ATGTGTTAGTGTGGGTCTGTATGTCTGTGTGCATGTGTGTGTCTGCGCGTTAGTGTGGGTCTGTATGTCTGTGTGCATGTGTGTGTGTGTCTGCGCGCGTTAGTGTGGGTCTGCATTTCGGTGTGTGTCTGAGTGAGAGTGTGGGTCTGTATGTGTGTCTGCACATGTTAGTGTGGGTCTGTATGTGTGTGTGTGTGTGAGAGTGTGGGTCTGTACGTGTGTCTGCACGTGTTAGTGTGGGTCTGCATTTCAGTGTGTGAGAGTGTGGATCTGTATGTGTGTCTGCGTGTGTTAGTGTGGATCTGTATGTCTGCATGTGTCTGCACGTGTTAGTGTGGGTCTGTATGTCTGTGAGCGTGTGTGTGTCTGCGCATGTTAGTGTGGGTCTGCATTTCAGTGTGTGTCTGTGAGAGAGAGTGTGGGTCTGTGTGTGTGTCTGCGCGTGTTAGTGTGGGCCTGTATGTCTGTGTGCATGTGTGTGTGTCCGCGCGTGTTAGTGTGGGTCTGTATGTCTGTAGGTGTGAGAGTGTGTGCGCGCATGTTAGTGTGGGTCTGTATGTCTGTGTGTGTGCGTGTGTGTGTGTCTGCGCATGTTAGTGTGGGTCTGTATGTCTGTGTGTGTGTGTGTGTCTGTGCGTGTTAGCGTGTATGTTTGCGTGTCTCAGAGCATCCACTCTGCGTGGCCTGGTGTCAGACTCTGTCATGTCTTGGTTTCTTCGGCGTACGCCAAAGTCATCAAACACCGTTATGTCGGTTTAAAAAAAACATTATGAATATTTATTTCATTCACTCTGCGAATACAAATTCCCGAAGCTGAGACAAACACCTCGCTTCGCTGTGTTCCTGAGTCTCCTGCTGTTGGGGGCTCTCTTGGCTAACCCTCTGCAGCACTGTCTGTGTCCCCTCTCCAGAAGGGGCTCCCCCACCTCCATGCCCCCTCACAGTGTCTCTCCTGCGCAGGGGTCCAGCGTCTCTTCAACTCCAAGGGCTCCACTCTCACCTCTGGTGGTCCACAGCTCACTGTTTGGCAAGGGGAGGCCTCGCCAGCCTTCGATCTCCGTTCCCGATCGTCAAAGGTGGCCTGTTTCTACAAAGACAAGACCGGGAGTGTTCATCCCCCTCCGGTTACAGCGCGAGGCGGCTCGGAGACGGTGCAGAATGGATTTCGGGGACAGGCAGCTTGCCCGGTTCCACAGCTCTGGTATAATTCAAAGCCGACGAGTATGGGTCAAAGTTTCTCTTCCTGAGTCGGGCCAACGCAAGGCCATAAGACACAGTCGGAGACGGCTGATACGTTTCTCAACCGCGCCCTCCTGCCTCCTCCCTGCAACCCTTGATCCCCGTGTGGTACTTTTTCGGTCAAGCAAGAACATTTTAACTTACATTTAAAAGTCAGGGAATGCTCGCTTAAACCCAGAGGTGGGACTCTCCAAGGGTCAAGGGTCTTTGGAATTCTCTCACTCCAAAACAGGCAGAGGCAGAGTCCCTATATATTTCCAAGGGTGGGTTCGATAGATTCTTACTCACTGAGTCGGGGTTTGGGAGTGGGGTCGGTGTGAAAGGTTTATCAGGAATGTGGATTTGAGGGGACAGTCAGTTCAAGCACCATTGGACTGAATGGCAGCACAGGCTCGAGGGTCTGAATGGCCCACCCCGGCTCCCAGTTGGTACAACACCACCTGCAGGCAGCACGGTTTTACACCGTCGGATCTCACACAAACAGGGGTTGCATGGCCAACCGGCCCCACACTAATCACCCATCGCCCCGTCTCTGCCCCCTACAACCTGCAGCAAGCCACCGTTGGGCTCTCGAACCCAGCTGGGGCCTGAACAGCCTGGCTACAGCCCACAGAGAGTCCTGCTGAAGTCATGTCGGCCCACAGCACCCGCAAGGAAGGTCAGCAAACTTTATAAAAGGGACTGTGCAACACTGAGGGGACCCAGAAGGACCTGGGCGTGGCCTGTGGGACCCAGAGGGATCCGGGTGGGGCCTGTACCGCCCCGAGGGACCCGTACGATCCCGAGGGATGGGCAATAAAATGTTGCCCAGCCAGCGATGCCCACTTCCCATGAAGAAATATTTGGCGAAGCACAGTCTGCGCCCAGAGGCCCTGTTGAATGTCGATGAGGACAGGATGGGAGCACCGCTCTCCGCCACCTCCCCGCACCTGAACCTGACTGGAACATGACCAGCTCTTCCTCCTGAGAGCCCGAGAGAGACAGAGAGAGAGAGAAAAGCAGAAGTAGGAAAGCGAAAGCCTGGAGAATGTGTTACCTCTGTCTGGAAGGCTGGCTGGTGTCGTGTTGCCGATGTTGATGGTGTAACTGTTCACCACTGCGAGCCGGCAGAGAAAGATGGAGAATTTACAGTCAGGGGAGGTCTTGAGCTCAACAGCAACCCCCACCGCAGCTGCCCCCACCCCCTTTCCCAACCATGTCCAGCCTCCCAAACAGCTCCCGAAAGCAATCTGAAGCCGACCCTGACCCGAGGCACGCTGGTTCAGAGCATACCCCACCCCCTTCTCCCCCCTGGGAGGTGATTGTACTGGAGGGAAGCAGGGTGCAGAGGGAGATTCACCAGGACATAGCCCGGGACGGAGCGGTTTAGCGATGGGGGGAGGCTGGATAAGCTCCGGTTGTTTTCTTTAGAGTTGGGGGGAACCTGATAGAGGGGTTAAGGTTATGAGGGGCAGGGGCAGGACGGGTAGGAAGCAGCTGCTCCCCTGAGTCGAAGGGTCAGTAACAAGGGGGCAGGGGGGCATCATTTTATAGTGAAAGGCAGGAGGTTTTGAGGGGATTTGAGGAAAAATATTCTCAGCCAGAGGAAGGAGAAGAAGCAGGAATACACCATCTGGGAAAGAAGATGTGGTGGGAAACCTCACAACCTTTAAAACACGTGCCGAAAAGTACTTAAAACATCAGAACAGAGAAACAGAGACAGAAACAAAGAGCAACAAAGAGACAGAGACAGAGAAACAGAGGGAGAGAGATACTGAGAGACAGAGAGACAGAGACAGAGAGACAGAGACAGAGAGACAGAGACAGAGAGACAGAGACAGAGAGACAGAGACAGAGAGACAGAGAGACAGAGAGACAGAGAGACAGAGACAGAGAGACAGAGACAGACCCACCCCATGCCCAGGCCAGGCACTACATGTTCCCCCGCACCCTCACTCCTCACACTGCAGCGGCACTGTACAAAAGCCTCTTACCTCTGTCTGGAAGGCTGGCTGGTGTGGGGCTGCCGATGTTGATGGTATAACTGTTCACCGCTGTGAGCCGGAAGAGAAAGGCGGAGAAGTTACGGAGAGGGACACGCACCATGACAACCTCCCCACCTCAAACATGGATGTAGCGCCATCACTGGCTCCTCCTGAACAAACGATCCCCAAAGGCTCATGTCTACTTTATGGGCTGGGCCCAACCGGCCCCTCCATCTCCAGGGGCACAGACGGCAGCCCAGGGCAGGGGGGAACGACTCACCTTCTGTAACCCGACACCTCCCACCTCACCCTCCAGCCAGCACTTCAGTCCCTGTGCAGCTCTGGGTTGAAGTCTCTAAACTTTTGTCGGTGAGCAGGCTGTATGTCTCTTGCATTTGTGCCAAACAATCAGTAGTGGATGACAGATCTATGATGGAGCAGGGTTCCCTGAGCTTCCCCCATAGAAACATAGAAGATAGGAGCAGCAGGAGGCCATTCGGCCCTTCGAGCCTGCTCCATTTGGCTGATTGTCCAACTCAACAGCTTAATCCTACTTTCTCCCCATAATCTCTGATCCCATTCGCCCCCAAGTGCTACATGTGAGTCTTCAGGATGTTATTGAGACTGGAGAGTTATAAGGAGAGGCTGGAAATGCTGAAGCTATTTTCCCCAGAGCAACGGAGGCTGAGGGGTGACCTTATAGATGTTTATAAAATCATGAGGGGCAAGGATAGGGTAAATAGTCCTTTCCCCAGTATGAGGGATTCCAAAACTAGAGGGGATAGTTTAAGATGAGAGGAGAAAGATTTAAAAGGGACCTGAGGGGCAACTTTTTCACGCAGAGGGTGGTGCGGGTATGGAATGAGCTGCCAGAGGAAGTGGTGGGTGCAGGGACAGTTACAAGACATTTGGGATAAGTACATGAATGGGAAAGGTTTGGAGGGATATGGACCAGGAGCAGGCAGGTGGGACTGGTTTAGTTCGGGATTAGGGTCGGCACGGACTGGTTGGGCCGAAGGGTCTGTTTCCGTGCTGTGTGACTCGGTGACTGAGTGCCAAACCACGCCGCCCCCCACCAGCCCACCCACCAGGCAGCGCTGAGGCAGGAGCTGGCCTCAGCAGGGCCACGATACCAGATGAAGGTAACGCTGTCAACCCTAGTCCCTGCTCCTCTTTCCACGAGAGAATCTTTTCAGCGAGAGAACAACCCGAAACAAAAACCTGAGACAGCCCGGTGAGCTCATTACCTCTGTCTGGAAGGCTGGCTGGTGTGGGGCTGCTGATGTTGATGGTGTAACTGTTCACCGCTGCGAACCCGGAGAGAACGACGGAGAGGTTACGGAGAGGGACACAGCCTGCCCTTCAGTCCACCAGCCCTCCCTATCTCCCCAACCGCCCCGAAACCAGCCAGACAGCCGCTCGGTTCGAGACATCGGCGTCACACCGAGTCCCCTCGAGCTCCCCTGACCCCGGCGCGACACTGACAGAACTTGTGCAGTGCTTGGGAGTGCTGGGGGATGCCCCGACGGGGCCTGAGCAAGCCTCACTGGGCCTGAGTCATCCTGACGAGGCCTAAGAGATACTGGCGGCACCAAACCACTGTGCTCAGGGCCTTGTGGGAGCCCACGGGGCCCTAGGCCATCCTGTACACAGTCACGGGGCGGTAGGTGACAGCAGCGTGCGCCCAGTCGGGGAACTCCAGGATTCCAGCCTAACTCCTGCTGTCTTGTGCCACCTCCTCCCCACCCCACCCCATCACCTTTCCCCAGAGAGGAGGGGGAACAATGATAACAAAAAGAGAGGCCGCCACATGAAGGGTAAAGGTATTACCTTTCTCTGGAAGGCCAGCCCGCGGTGAGCTGTGGATGTTGACTGTGTAATTGTGTGGCACTGTCAATATTGGGGGGTGGGGGAAGAGAGAGAAAGACAGTGGTTTACATACAGGGACATATTCCAACCTACCCACCCACAAACACACGCACACAGGCACAGGCACAGGCACAAGCGCGCACACAGGCACACACTCTCTCTCACACACTGACACACACACACAGTGTGCCAACTCCTTCCAGCCTCCAGAACGAGTCAGGTTTCCTCCTTCGCATTCAGGTGCCACTCAACACCCACAGGGTTCCCGGCACAGCCCGGACAGTGGGGAGGGAAGTCCCATGGGAATCTCTGGGTAGTGTTGCCCGGATTGTGGGGAAAAGCTGACGGGGGTGGGGGGGGCGGAAACAGGAAGAGGTCAGGACATGAGCTTACCTTTCTCGGGTTGTCCGGCTGGCACTGGGCTGGTGATGTTGATGGTGTAATTGTTGATGACTGTGACTGAGTGGGGATGGGGGGTGGGGGAAGGAGAAAAAAAATGGGAGGTTTACACTGACGCCTTCACCCTCTCAAAACACTGGCCCTCTCCCACCAAAAGGCTCTACACCCCCATCCCCCAGCCCTCTCTCCACCGTCCCCCAGCCCTCTCTCCACCGTCCCCCATCCGCTCTCTCTCCACCAGCCCTAAGCCCTCTCTACACCAGCCCCCGCAAATCCTCTCTCCACCAACCCCCGCCCTCTCTCCACCAGCACCCCCGCCGCGCCCCCCACCTCAAACTCCCAGTCCTGAAGGAGGGGCCTCAAGTGCTGCCTCACAATGGCAGCTACGGCCCCCAAACATCAACACAGCCTTCAGGCCCCAGCCCACTCCAGAAGGGCCAAGGCGACTCGAACAGAGATCCCGCAGCCTCGGCGGCCGCTACAGAAATGCAGGCTTGTTTGGGGGAGGCAGGGGGTGATTGACAGGGAAAAAGTGAAAGACAGAGACAGACAGAGGAAAACTTACATCTCGGAGAAGTGTTGCTTTTCTCTGGGAGGCTCGGTGGCATTGTGTTGATGTTGATGGTGCAATTCCTCGCGACTGTGGAAGCAGGGGAGAAACAGCGGGCTTTAGGTACATCCACACGATAGCCCCCCAGGCTCACCACCCCACCTGAATGCAGGGCACCAAGATCGTTCAATTGCAATGAAGGAGAGCGTCCTGTTGATTCCCAAAGAGAACTCACCTTGTCTGACTCACGTTCAAACTGGGAGTGCCTTCTAACTAAGTGAAGAATCTTACCATCTGGGGTAATCATTCTCCTACTTAAAATCCAGATGTTAGTCATACTACTGTTTAAGCTAAAGGAAAGGAAATGAGTATCTATGATGCTGTGAAGGACAGTAACAGGCTGAAGGCTGAATTTATTGTGACTATGTAGCATGTGTGGTGCTCTAGTGCAATGTTGGCTGCTAAGACCATTTCTGATCGCACAAAGAGCCTCTGGTTTGGTATTCCCGAGGGGGAGGGAGTGCTGATGGAAACCCACACAATGATCCCTATGACCTGGTTTATTCATTCCCCAGCTTTACAGTATAGAAAGCACACCTTCTACTTCCTCAGGGCATCTCCCCAAAGACTCTTACCAATTTTCACAGATGCAACACAGAAAGTATCCTATCTGGGCCCATCATGGCCTGGTACGGCAAATACTCTGCTCAAGACCTCAAGAAATTACAGACAGTTGTGAACACAGCCCAGTCCATCACGCAAACCAGCCTTCCTTCCACTGACTCTATCTATACTTCTCGCTGCCTTGGGAAAGCAACCAGAATCATCAAAGACCCCCTCCCACCCTGGTTATACTCTCCTCCATCGGGCAGAAAATACAAAAGTTTAAAAACACGCACCAACAGATTTAAGAACAGCTTCTTCCCTGCTGTTATCAAACTTATGAACGGACCTCTCGTGTATTAGAGTTGAGCTTTCCCTGCAGCTTCTCTGTAGCTGTAACACTATGTTCTGTTCTATTACTCTGATGTACTCATGTAACGTACAATTTGTCTGGTTAGCATGCAAAACAATACTTTTCACTGTACCCTGGTACATGTGACAATAATAAATCAAATCAAAATCAAAAATAAAACTTGGAATATTGTGCAATTTCTGAAAATATTTCTAAATCCCATTCTCCTGCCTTCCCCCTGGTAACCCTTGATCCCCTTAACAGTCAGGAGTGTGATGGAATACTCCCCACTTGTCTGGATGGGTGCAGACCCAACAACACTCAAGAAGCTCGACACCATCCAGGACAAAGCAGCCGCTTGATCAGCACCACATGCACAAGCATCCACTCCCTCCTCCACCGATGCTCAGTAGCAGCAGTGTGTACCATCTACAAGATGCACTGCAGAAATTCATCAAAGATTTTTGGACAGCATTTTACAAACACACAACCACTTCCATCTGGAAGGACAAGAGCAGCAAATATATGGGAACACCACACCCTGCAAGTTCCCCTCCAAGCCACTTACCATCCTGACTTGGAAATGTATCACTGTTCCTTCACTGTTGCTTCAAAATCCTGGAATTCCCTCCCTAATACTTGTGGGTCAACCCACAGCAGGTGGACTGCAGTGGCTCAAGAAGGCAGCTCACCACCACCTTCTCAAGGGCAACTAGGGACGGGCAATAAATGCTGGCCAGCCAGCAACACCCACATCCCACAAATGAATAGAAAACAAAAATCCAGAACCTATCCACCTGTGTCTTAAACACACTCAGCAACCTGGACTCCACAGCCCTCTGTGGCAATGAGTTCCACAGATTCACCACCCTCTGGCTGAAGAAATTCCTCCTCATCTCGTTCTAAAGGGTCATCCCCTCACTCTGAGGCTGTGCCCTCGGGTTCTAGTCTCTTTTATGGATGGAAACATCTTCTCCACATGCTCTCTATTCAGGCCTCTCAGTATTCTGTAAGTTTCAATCAGATTCAATCATCCTTCCAAACTCCAGCAAGTACAGACCCAGAGATCCTCTACTGTTCCTCCTAATGACAAACCCTTTATCCCCAGAATCATTCTTATGAACTTCTGCGGGAACCCCTCCAAGTCCTACACATTCTTAAATATAGGGCACAAAAATATTCCAAATGCAATCTGACCAAAGCCTTACACAGCCTCAGCAGGACATCTCCGCTCTTGTATTCCAGCCCTCATGAAATAAATGCTAACATTGCATTTGTCTTCCTAAATGCCAACTTAGCCTGCATGTCGAGCTTAAGAAAATCCTGACTGGGACTCCCAAGTCCCTTTGAGTTTCAGCATTCCGAATCCTTTTCCCATTTACTTAATAGTCTATGACTCGATGCTTTCTACCAAAGTACATAAATCTCACACTTTCCAACATTGTATTCCATAGGCCACTTCTTTGCCCACCGGCCTACTCTGCCCAAGTCATTCTGCAGCCTCCCCGCTTCCTCATCACTACCCTGTGTTGCTGAACAGAGACACCTTGGGATGCAGGTTGATAGATCCTTGAAAGTGAAGTCGCAGGTAGACAGGGCAGTGAAGAAGGCGTTTGGTACACTTGCCTTTATTGGTCAGTGCATTGAGTACAGGAGTTGGGAAGGTCATGTTGCAGCTGTACAGGACATTGGTTAGGGCCACTTTTGGAATACTGTGTTCAATTCTGGTCTCCCTGCTGTAGGTGACATGTTTTTTAAACTTGAAAGGGTTCAGAAAAGATTTACAAGGATGTAGCTGGGGTTGGAGGGTTAAAGCTATAGGGAGAGGCTGCGACTATTTTCCCTGGAGCACGGAGGCTGAGGGGAGATCTTACAGAGGTTTATAAAATCATGAAGGGCGTGGACAGAGCAAATAGCCAAGGTCTTTTTTCTGAGGGTGAGGAAGTTCAAAACTAGAGGGGGATAGGTTTATGGTGAGAGGGGAAAGATTTAAAAGGGAGCTGAGGGGTAATTTTTTCACACAGAGGTTGGTGCGTGTATGGAATGAGCTGCCAGAGTGAGTGGAGGAGGCTGGAACAATTACAACATTTAAAAGGCATCTGGATGGGTACATGAATAGGAAGGGTTTAAGAGGGATATGGCTCAAATGCTGGCAAATGGGACTGGATTAGTTTAGGATATCTGGTCCACATGGATGAGATTGACTGAAGGGTCTGTTTCCATGCTGTACATCTCTATGACTGTGTCCCTCCACTTATTTTTGTGATCCCTGGCAGAATCAAGGGATCCCTGGCAAGGCCTACTCAAGAATGACTTTGCAACATGACCTCCCAACTCCTTTACTCAATGCACTGGTCAATAAAGGCCAAGTGTACCGAGCACCCACTTCACCACCCTGTCTATCTGGGACTCAACTTTCAAGGATCAATCAACCTGCATCCCAAGGTCTCTCTGTTCGGCAACACAGGGTAGTGTTGAGGAAGCAGGAAGGGTCCCTGTGACCTGGGCAAGGCTTGTACAACCATGTTTGGTGCTGCACTGTCTTGCGGTCCCCAGTATGCTCCAATGTCAGTCTATCTTTAGGCAAATAAAAGACCCAAAATGGTTCACCATATTTCAGGCAAGACTCTGGTATTGTACGTACAGTTCTGGGCCCCTAATGTAAGTAAAGGTAGAAAGACATTGAAACAGTGCAGAGAATGTTCACTTGGCTGATGCTGGGTAGGGAGGGACTGCCTTATGAGGAGAGTGTGAGGAGACTGGGCCTGTATTCATTGGGGTTTAGAGGAATGAGAGGCGACCTTATGGAAACAGACAGGATTCTCAGGGGGGGACCTGACATGGGGAGATGGGGAGGGGTTGTTACCCCCTTGTGGGGGAGAGTCTAGGACCAGAGGGGGCATCATCTCAGAGCGAGGGGGTCGCCCACTGAAGACGGAGAATGGGGGGTAATTTCTTCTCTCTCTGAGGGGGGAGTGAATCTGTGGAATTCTTTACCACAGAGGGGGTGCTGTCGAGGCTGGGTCATCGAGGATATTCAAGGCTGAGATAGAGAGAGATTTTTTTAAATCGGGAAGCAAATCAAGAGTTAAGGGGAAAAGGCAGGAAAGTGGGAGTTGAGGACGATCAGAGAATGGAGGAGCGGACTTGATGGGCTGAATGGCCTATTGCTGCTGCAAACACTCAATCTTATTGCTTCCGACCCTTGCTATGGCCCTGATGAGACCGGCAGGATGCTCGTGGGGTCTGCCTGACGCTCCTGGTGGCTCTGAAGGGGCAAAGGGCACCCTTGCTGCCAGCAACCTATCGGCACCTGTTACCCGGAGGTCAGCAGACAGGAGCAGGCTCAGGCTCCGTCACCTCACGGGAGGAGACGGCCTTCTCTTGGCCCCATTTCCTGGAACCACTCCCATCGGTCTTTACCTTCAGCGCTGGGCGTCAGGCTCCACTCCATCTGGGGACCCCGGCCAGGACTTTCCTCTTTTGTAGCTGTTTCGGAGCCAGAATAGGGGACACCGTTCCTGTCCATCTCTGTCTGCGTGGGTTCGGGAACTGGGCCATCGCCCATTGCCTGTTGGGATAAGGAACGGAGCGGTTAGTACAGGAAGAGGGACAGGCTCTATCCCTTGCAGCAAAGAGCGCGAGTCCAGGCAGTGGTATTGTCTGCCAGGAGCCAGGGCATCCATACAGGGCTGGGAGAGAACGTGCAGCGGGATTACAGCCCAGCGTCACCCAGGTAGACAGTGACAATTGGAACAAGGGGAGAGGCATTGGGTTAAAAAAGGAGAACTTCAAAAGGGTGAAACCCGAGCTGCAGGCCAATTGGCACAGGATGTGTAACAGTGGTGAAGTGAACACAGGGTCCTCAAAGGCTGGCATGGGAGGAGGGGGTTCTCATTTGCGGGCACTGGCACCAATCCTTGGGGGTGTGTGCGTGCACGAGTGTGTGTGCACGAGTGCGTGAGCGTCTGCGTGAGATTGTGTACGAGCATGTGTGCTTGTACGTGTGTAAACGTGTGTGTACGTGTACAAACGTGTGTGTGTACGTGTGTGTGTGTGCGTGTATGTAAACATGTGTTTGTGTGTATACGTGTGTGTGGGTGCGTGTACGTGTGTATACACGTGTGCCCATCCCACTGGGACAGTGTGAACTGCACCACGACGGAAGTAAACTAAAGAGTGGTTGGGGAAGGTGGGCAAGGGATCAAATGTGGAGAAAGATGTGGTTAACAGTAGAGACAAGAGAGGAAAATAGTAAGACAGGATCTAAGGGTCAGAGGGAAAGTGCCAGCAAGACAGTAAATCTAAGAAAGCACCAACAGTCAAAGTGAGATTTACAAAAGGCAAAGAAACAAAAAGACAGAACCGAAGGCTCTGTATCCAAATGCACATCGCATTCACAATAAAATGAACAACTTGATAACGCACACTGAAGTAAGTTTCACTGTTACAGTGATGTGGCCATAGGATTGGGCCCTGAGCGTTGAGTGATACGTGACATTGAAGGAAAAGTAGGCAGCTCGGTAGAGATGGAGGGGCAGCACTGTTAACTGATGGCATTTCTTACAATGTTCACAGCTGCCCGTGGCTCCAGGAGATTTCCAGATGGCACTTCAAAGGTTATTGTGGAAAAATACAAGTTCATGTCAGGATGCATAGAAACTGGCTGGCTACTAGAGAGTATACATAAATGGTTCACTGGCAGGATGTAATGAGTGGAGTCCCACAGGGCTCTGTGCTGGCCTCTCAACATTTTAAATTCAAGGACCTGGAAGAGGCGGCATGAAAGCATGGCAGCTAATTTTACAGGTAACTCCCAACATTGATGGTAAAAGTATGCGATGAAGAGGACACAGGAAGGCTGCAGGTGGGAAAGAGAGAGAGGTAAACTGAGCAGGTCGACAAAAATTTGGCGGAGACAGTACAACGTGAGAGAGCGTGAAGCTGTTCACTTTGGCACCAAGAATAAAAGAAATTAGCAGAGTATTCCTTAAATGAGAAACAACTGTGAAATTCCAAGGTGCAGAGAGGCTTAGATGCTGCAAACAGGACACAGAGAGTCGGTATCCCAGTACAGCTCCTGATCAAGGACGCTAATGGGATGCTATCTGTTATAGAAAAGAAGAATTGAATATAAAAAGTAAGGATGTTACATTTCAGTCAGGCAGGGCAGTGACGATACCACAACTCGAATACTATGTGCGGATTCGATCTCCATACTGAAGGATGGGTTGGAGGAGGTTTACCAGGATTGATTTCCAGAAGGAGTGGGTGGTATTATGAGGAAAGATGGGACAGATCGGGCATGTTCCCACTGGAGTTTAGAAAATTAAGGGGCAACTTGGTTGATGTCAAGACCGTTCAGCAATTTATAAATGAGAATCTTATATTATTTGTTTGTCAGAAATGGGTGTCACTGTCTGGGCCAGAACTTTCGGCCATCTCCAACTGCCCACTGGGTCAGGCACGTGACTGAGCGACTGGAATCTCAGGGCAGGCTCCACCGGGTCAATGGCAGGTTTCTCTGTCCCCATGTTAGTACGAGCGTCACGCTCTACCTGCTGGGAAAGGGGGAACAGGAGCATCATGTTCTACCTGCTGGGAAAGGGGGAACAGGAGGGTCGCTCTCTACATTCCTCATCCCCCCCACTGACCAACACCTCACCTGCTCCGACATTCCCAGCTGCCTGTTAGAGGAGAGGGAACACACATTCTTCTGTTCACCACTGCCGCCCTTGCTCCCCTCCTGCCTCGGTATGCTTCGTTCAGTGGCCGGCTGCATCGCCACTGTCGACAAGAGTTTAGAAAACAACAGGTCAGAGAGCACAGGGACACAGCCACACAGGGGAAACATGAAAGATATATCAGCGCTTCACAAAAAAAACACCGCATTAAAGAATACACCAACCAATTAAAACACAGCCATCAACATCCTCCCTCTGTCACAGAGGAAACCCATCCAGCTGACAACAGGCTCTCTCACACCACTGCTCCTTTCCGACACAGTCGCTATCTTTCTGACCCTACCTGCACCACCTCCCTGAACCTTCAGAGCTCACTGACCACAGGGCACAAAACAGCCCCAGCCCCAAAGAGAACTGCAGAAAAGCCTGCCATCCTTTCAGGCAGATATGCCAGACATAGAACACAATACACAACGCTCAGGCCATAGATGACCCTCGTGTAGCCAACTCAACCCCGACAGCATCTACACAAGCCTGCAAGCAGCTAAATGGGGCATGGGGGAAGCAGCGGGGACCGGCAGGGGTCTAGACCCTGTCCCGGGGGGCCAAGGCCTGGGCATGGATCCAGAACCGGACTGTATCTGTATGAACAGAGGTGGCCCCATAGAACGAGGACAGGACTGTAGGGGGGTGAACCTGTTAAGACTGGGACTGGGTTGAGGGTGAAGGTGAGCCTGTTAGACTGGGACTGAGGGTGCGGGTGGGGGCGGAGGAAGATACTGTTAGACTGGGACTGGGGGTGGGGG